AACACAGAGCAGCTGTGCAGGCACACCTATTAACCTATTAGTTCCCTGATAATCCACAGCCAGCTGTTTTGCCTGATAATCAACTGCTGTCTTCATCTTGGCATGGACCACAGGAATCACTTTGGTTGTCAAATCATAAATGAAGCTTGTACATGCAACCTGAGAGAAGTTTGGCTTTGAGATCTCTTCTGACTACATTTGTGGACTTCCATGAGGTGACAGGATATTCTGCAAAGGAAATACACCAGATTGGTAAGACTAAGATACTCAGTTTCAACAGGTGTCAATACCATTAAAGAGGTGTGCTGGTTTGGGCTGAAGTAAAGTTTCTTCACAGTGGCTAGTATGGGGCCATGTTTTGTGTTTGTGCTGAACACAAGCTTGAAAATGCAGAGATGTTCTTGTTACTGCTGAGTAGAGCTTACACAGAGCCAAGGCCTTTACTGCTTTCTATACTGCCAAGCTGGCAAGGAGGTTTGGGGTGCTTGGGAGGAGACACAGTTGGGATAGGGGACCCAAACTGACCCAAGGGATAATTCCATACCATATGACATCATGCTCAGTGTATAAAGTAGATGGAAGAAGGAGGAAGGGGGAACATTTGGAGTAATGGCGTTTGTCTTCCCAAGTAACCATTACACGGGATCGGCCCTGCTCTCCTGGAGATGGCTGAGCACCTTCTGCCCGTGGGAAGCAGGGAATTCTTTGTTTGGCTTTGCTTTTGTATGTGGCTTTTTCTTTCTCTGTTAAACTGTCTTTATTTCAAACCATAAGCTTTTCTAGCTTTTTCCACCCTTCTGATTCTCTTCCCCATCCTGCTGGTGGGGGAGTGAGCAAGCGGCTGCGTGGTGTTTGGTGGCTAGCTGGGGTTAAACCATGACAAGAGGCATAGTCCATACACTCTTCAGTTAGATGTATCATCTACAATCAATCACCACTTAAAGTAAATCCCGTGTTACAAAAGACATCATGCAGAGTCCACACATCAGTAGAAATCTAAGAAATATTCCTTCATGATGAAATGCCTTTTCAGCTGTTATGAAAAGAAGAAATAGCTTTTTAGGTTTATTGCATTCCCCAAATGTTAATTTAAAATCATCTGCAGATAACCAATTTAGCTGTGCACTTGAAAAATAGAAGCTGTACATGTGTTTCAACAGTTTGGTTTACAGGTCCTGTTTATTTTTCTGTAATTACTCAGCTCACAACCTCCTATTTTATGTTTACCAAGTTGTACAAATATGAATCTGCACACACATCTCACAGTTTTGCAATTATTTTTCTTCTGCTTCTTTAAACTGCAAAAAGGTTTGTTTAGTAAAACAGGAACAGCTTTCTAACCAAATGAAACTACAAAAAGATGTTCAAAAGAACCTATCAACCTGTAAATTTTTCAAAGGGAGTCAAAGTCTTCAGAACTCCGACTTCTTGTTGTGGTGGGACTTCTCAGTTAAGTTCCTTAAAATAAGCCTTCGGATGTTGCCACAGTACCTACTACAGGACACATGTACCTACTAACAGGAAGCTGAAATATGTGATTTGGCTTTCGTTTCCAGCTCTCTCAATTACTCTTGACAGAAAGCAATGAGTTAATGTACTCAAACAGTGATTTCCTCCAGAAGCAGTATGTATATCTCACAAGCAACAGAAAAGGCTGTTGTCTCTTCCATGACAACAATCCCAGCTTCACTCCACAGCAGGTAACACTGGCTGACTTGGGTCCAGCTTAGCATAAACCTGGCTAAACCCCAGCAGCCAGTGGGAGTGAGATTGCTCAGCAGAGTAGAAAACATGCTGGCAAAAAGAATCACACCAGATTCAGGAAGAAGAACACTAACTTCTCACATTTTAGAAAAACATTTTTATTTCTTTCCAATATCCAGTGGTAAAGAAAAAAAGTTCAAACCATCAAAGGTTCCTCACAAGTATTTGTAGCCTGATGAACATAAAAATGTAGGAAGTGGGAGCCAAAACAAAACCAGGCACAGCTGAAACATCAGTTGCTGCTGTTGACTGATGAGTGATTATTGACTGACACACTGTACAACTTGGCAGGCATATGAGTCCTGGAACTCAGAACATCCTCCTGCACCTCCCCACACGACATTCAGGTTAAAGACACACAAGCCAATTCCTTAAAAGTCTCAAGTTGAAGAACTTGACAATTTAAAATGCAATCCAGGCCAACAGAGAACAACCTAGCTCAACTCCACAACTCCTGTTGTGCACTAATGTTTTAGAAACAACTTTGAGCAAGTGGCTGCAACTACTACCTCAGTGCCAAAATAACGAACTTAGTAATGTTCAGTACCAAGTTACCTTTAATGGCAACTGATTTACTTCTTGAAACAGAATACAACTGAATTAATCTCCACCATTAACACACTCTTTTTCCTCCCCCTCAAAAAGCAGACCCTAATGAACACAGAGGCCAGCCAAGGACAAAGAGCTGTGCTTGAAGCCCCATCTACTGACAACGAGTAGAACTGTTGCTAAACTAGAGCAATATTGCAAAGAACATCCCTTGGCACAAGTGCTATTGCTTCTTAAAGAAAAACAACCGACCATAAACATTTTGAGATGTAATCCAGCTACGTAACGTTCTCTGCAAACTGTACAGGGCATTTCTCACAAGAAACTGACCAACCAGAATGCAACAACAAAACCATCCAACCTATGAAGTTATATACCAAATCTGCCCTATCTGACAGTGCCAGCCACAGAATTAGGCATACTGAACTCAAACCTGCACTTGAACATCTTCACTTTCTAGCCTGTGTCAGGAAAAGGTCTGCACACATTACTTCTGCTTAAGGAAACACCCTGACATATTTCTCATCATTTACTCATGACCCAAAAGAGAATCCACTCAAAACCTTGCTGCCAAGTTGCAATATAGTGCAATGGGGGAAGATGCATCAGTGCCTGATACGACAAGGATAACATATCACTTCTTGTCTGAGCCTACCAAACAAAAACACACTGCTGGCAGTCTGCTGAGTTCTGTCATATCCGTCATGAGCTCTGTCAGCATCCATCCCTGCTTTCCTTTAGGGCCATCAGCTCTGTAGTCCATAGTTCCTTAACCCCTCAACAAAGTATCCATTCTTCTGCCACCCAATCTGCACACAGGTAATACAGAAAATTTGGAGGGGATTTTCCTTCTGAACTCCTTGGCCTTTAACACAAGTGAAAAGTTCTCTTGTTCTGACTTTCAACTGGAACAAACAAGCTGCAGGGACCAGAGATGACATCCATGGCCTGGTCACTGCGAGTCACCCTTGAGTGAGAAGCAGAAGGTCTTTGATCTAACGCTAGCCCTGTGCTCTTTTTCCAAGTGGCAAATTTCCAGACCTCCGCAGGCCTGAGGAGTTGAAACACTTTAAAACTAAACGTTCTAGTGGGTGGGATCCCTTCAAGCAGTGGAGACAGCACGTGTGCCCATCTGGTAAGTTGGTATAGCTCCAACACAGAAAGGACAATATTTGAATCTTGCTAACCTTGAAGAGACCAAACCAAGCCTAAAATTTAGAAAAGCTGCCAACATCAGATTAATATCTAGTAACTAAATTGCATTTTTTAAAAAAAAACCAATTCAAACTCTTTAACTGCTTTAAAAAGTTGAGGTTAGGAAGGAAAAGTTAAAAAAAGCCCTTCTGTGTAGTTTGAACTCTGACAGCAAATAATTTGTACCAAGACAGAGACAGAACTAAATGGCAACAGACATGCTCTCATTTAATCCTCTCAGTTACAACCCAGCCATGAATGCAAAGATATCACATAACTTCTACCAAGTATTTCCACTGTTGGCCTATATATGCACTAATCATAGGACCTACTGCTTGAAAGAGAATGCCAAAAAAACAGTATTATCTCAAATTCCTCAATCTAAAGGGACTTTCACAGAGGTATGGTAATCTTGGTGTCCAAGCCTTTTCACAGACACACAATTTTAGCTGGCAGTTGAAAGCCAGTTCCTTTTTCCTACTTTAGTGTATCCTTTAGAATTAGCATAAAGATCATGGCCAAGCCTGTTTACAAGGTCAATACTCAATCCTCAAGTACTTGAAAGTTCACAATTCCAATTGAATTTTCCTTATCTCCTTCTCTTCAAGGATAGCAGTGACCAGAAAGAGAAAGCACTCTACCAGAATAGCTGTAGTTTATCCTTATCTTCAGCCAGAAGGAACCTTGAAGAGTTGGGAGACAAATGCTATGTATACCATCTGCTGTCTAGACTTGGCTTCTGGAATATACACTATAATTACAGCTTTCCCAAAGGTCCTCATTATTATCCAGGAACACAGCAAGGAAATCAAAAGGAGATATTGAAGCAATAAATTTGGCAATGACCTATGGCTGTTACACAAAATAAAACTATCAACAATGTTCAGAGCTAATCAGGCCACAGCTTCCATACAAAGACAGAACTGATAAGCTCCTACTTAAGAGCTCCCATTTAACTATTCGAATTGGAGGCACTAATCATACAGCTGCCAGACAAGGAAGAAATGCCTGTCGTTAACATATTAGCAGGCGGCTGGACCCCAGCACAGGAGCATTTCAGCAGCCCATCTCCTAGACAACAATTACTGGAATGCAAACAGCATGGTTCAGCATTTAAATAGAGATTATAGCGAGCAGTTTGTACCAGGCTGATAAATGTTAGCTGAAGATGTCAACATTTTTTCAAGTGCTAAGCATCTTTAGGGAGATTAAGCATATTGATACAATTTGGAACAACAAATATACCCACACATTTTATACTTGTATCTTTCTGACATTGGATAGCACAAGAATAATAACAGATGCAGTGACATCTGTATGTCATCTGTATGTCGCTTCCATTTGACATCAAACTACTCAGGTTCTTTTGGTGGTCTTATGCTGATTCCAGTTGTTCTGTATTAAGGTGGGCACACTGAAACATTTTTCCTATGTAACAAGAACTTCAGAACATATAAAAACTTGACAAGTGTTTCTTGTCTGCAGAAAGTTCTTCATCTGCATTTGAGCTGTGTGAAGAGAAGAACACTTTCTTCGTTCAGAAGATTACGCATGTTATATCGATTTCCTGCAAATAAAAACAGAGGAAGTTTTCTTTAGGAGCCACTAGCAATTTTTGAAGTCCTGTCCTGTCTTCAGCCAAGTGTATTTTTATTTCATATGTTTTAACAGAAGGAACATTAGCTTCAAATCTAGGAATGCCACTCTTACAGGCAGGTAATTCCATTTCAAAGAGATGACAAAGAATACAGCTAGTGCAATTTATTTTAACTTGTGGTACGAATAAAGTACACCTTTGCTTAGAAGATTTTTACTGGAAAGAATACAACAGCTTGAGCTCCCAGCTCTCAGAACCCACAACAAAACTTTAAGGTGAACGAATTTAATTTATTCCTATAGCAACTATCAATAAAAACTGCACGTGGAAACTTATCTGCAAATCTTCACTTGAGATTTGCATACTAACATGACCACAAAATAGAATCATCTATTAGGCTCTGAACATCGAGAATGAGCGATATCCTAGCATTCATATAGAGCCACACAGTGCATTACAGAGATCACAAACACTGCCTTGCCCATCCAGGCATACTGAGGCTGGCCATTAAGATGCAGGGAAGAATGGAGATGAAGCTGAGATCCTTATGGTGATATGAAACTTTCAGTATTTTATGTAATCTGCTTTCACAAAAACAATTACAAAATTGTCTCTGCATGACCCCCTTAACACCAAGAAAAAAGCTTCAGAGCTTCAACTTATCTCACAAGGGCAAAATCAGGTCTCTAAAATCTCAATAACCCATATGAAGTTATAACCCATTCAACGAGACATTCCACACCTTCCATGTATCAAGCAGAAAGTACAAAATATGGTGAAGTGATCCAAACGGTTTGTCATTTTATGCAGAAAAAAATCCTAAACGGACAGTAACCCAAACAATTATATTAACTACCACCATATTAAGCACTCTGTGATGCTTCCCCGATACTATAGCTAGTGACAGAACCAGAATATCAAGAGAAATTCACTCTTGGAACTTGCTAGTGTCATCCAAACTTTGAGGCAAACTCACATAAACAAGTGGTACGTGTACCACTACGTTCAGCTATTAGATTATCAACCCATGTCCAGTGTTGTGTCACATTCTGTTCTTATAACCCTATCTTTTCACACTCTCTATTCAATCTTCTCTCTTTCATTCGGTCAGTTTGGTTTAGACTCCAAGCATGCTAATTCAGTCTCATCCATCTCCAACAAACTGGATTTAGATACGTGTACTCACCTGCTGGAACATAGAAGTAGTCCCCTGAACTCAGGTAATATGATGTCTCATGTAACGTAACAAGAATTTTGCCGTGCATAATATGGAAAGCCTTAATGGAAGCCAGAGTTCTAAGATTAGCAACACTTCCCTTCCAAACACTTAAGAAAGTTATCCAAGAAAACGTTTGCACACATGTTGCAACAAAGATAAAACCCCAAGTAAGCTAGCAGACCTGCAATCCCTTTTTCCCAGGCTGCTGAAAAATAAGACACACAGCTCTAAAGGGAGATGAGGTCCAGATTCATTTACTTGATACTTCTATCTTGCCTGGAAGATCCAGACAGTAAGTACACATGGACATGCACACTTAATATTAAGCAAAGCAGGGCAATGTGCCTGCAATGTACCTCTAGCAAATGATTTATTCATGTTTATTTGCACTAGGGAGGAGGGGGGGAAACCCTGAAAAAGCTGTCACCTTCATATGCTATTTCTAACCATCCTAAGATCTTCTGTTTGCATAGTCCATTTCATAAAATAAATAAAAAACATACTTACTATTGTATCCATATGAACAAATTGGTGTCCCTTTTCTTTAAGTGGTTTCAAAACCAATCTACCAGTTGCAAACACAGATGTATTCAAATGTTTGTATATTTCTACTGCTTCATCTTTGAAGTAGCATGGAAAACCTCTTTTACGGTTAATACACTCTACAAAAAATGATCAGGAGAATAACATTAATGCCAACACATTAGCCTTGTTACATGCTCCATGCATTACTTATTGTTTCAGTGCGACACCTCTGTAAGCTAGACTCAATATTCAGCTGAAAAATCAGGACACCATTTGTGTCTCCCTCAGAACTTTCTTCAGAAGAACAACCAGTATTTCAGCAGCTCACCTTTATACATGCAATGTGGCATGAAAAGTCTTTTTTCTTACCAGTTTAAACACTTCCTACACAATTCAGGAAGTCCCTTGGTCACATCCCTTCAACTCACCTACAAGTACTTCCTCTTTCGTTACTGGGTCCAATACAAGGGTTGGCTTAGAGCTATCAGCTATGGTTCCATCCAAATCTGCAATTACCTCTCTTCCATCTGAGGAAACAAAGAAACCAAAAGAAACCCAGAAAAATAATCACTATACATTTTAAAAACTTAATTATTCAACCACAACTTTTACACAGCTCTAATATTACACATTAAGTTCTTAAATTTGTTTTAATAAATGTCTGAACAGACTGAATAATCTCCTTCAAACAAAAGGAAACCATCCACAATAATTCTCTGAAAATGCAATTTTCATTGAAGTTATTTCTGTGTGTAATAGATGAAGACTGTCTAGATGCTAAGGAATTTTCCAAGGGAATGCCAACTATTTATCCTATGCTATTAAAACCAGTATTTACTCAAAAGTATCTGTGTTTTGAGAGAAGTGCTTTTCTAGCAACAGATACCGAGAAGATATGAAATACATGATGAAGTATGAAGAAGAAGTGTTTTGCTTTTAGCTAGTGCCGACAGCGCATCAGGAGACCTAAGAGACAAAGTGTTCAAAAGACTAAGTACATGTCCAATTTTCCTTTTCTCCAGAAACACCATTACAGGAATCCCACTGTAAGTTGTAAATCAGAAAACTATCTCTATAATAAAAAGGATTTTTCCAGAGAAGGAAATAGCCTAAGACTTAATGACAACCCTGCACTTTTCAAACAGAAAAGAAACATTGAAGAATATTCATGACAGAATAAATATCTCACAGCTCTCTTGCAGAATTCTCTTAAGCAGACAATTTTAGCTCTACAGTACACAGGAAACTTCTTTAAATGCAGTCAGAAGAAGGATGTCAAAGGCAAGCACTTTGTAGGCATTCATGACTGCTTAAATAGTCTTACATCAAGACAGTCGGGGTAGGAAGATAGTTGCTGTGTCTGAACAGCTTTGATCCAACATAACCATCTCTCTATAAAAAGAAGCAGCAACAGGTGTAACTCTACAGACATAACCACAGAATTTTTATTGCATCAATAACATTTAGGAATTTGTCCTAGAAATTTTACTCAGCAGATGGTCCTTATATGCATCACTAAAATTCAGGGCTATGAGTGAAAGACTATGTCTAAGGATGAATGTCTGCTACAGAGGAAATCAATCACTTCTAGAAGACAGTTCAAATGCACCTAAAGCAACCAATAATTCTTGTAAGATACAGTGTGAACAGTCACTACCAGATCAGGTTCACATGGACTGCAAATGATTTATATTACAACATAAACTGTACTTAGATCAAAGGTTGATCTAGACAAAGATCCTGTCTCACATCAACAGCCGAAAGCAGATACTCCTTCCATCCCTAAAAATGCCATAGCAGAGTCATGGCACTTCCATGGAATACTTTCCTCCTCTAACATGGAGCTCACACACTTTATTTAGAACTATTAACAGTTAAGTCCCCAGTTAATGTATCTAGTTCTTGCCTTGAATCCACACAAATATTTTTAACCACAGTATTTTAGGGCAGGAAGCACACAGTGAGAAGGGTCACCTCATTTTGCTGCAAAACCCAGCTCTCACTAGGTTCCTTCCACACCTTCTAGTTCTTGTGTTTAAAAACAAACAATCCAACAAAACAATTCATTTCTATTCCCCTTCTCCATGCCACTCATGCTCTTATAGGTCTTTCTCATGCCTCCACAGTATCCTCTTCAGGGCTGAGGAGCCTTCACTATGTAGTTGCTTCTTGCGCAGAAATCATTCCATGTTTTTGATGAGCTTTCCCTAAACCTTTTGCACTTCGACTCTACCTCCTTTTTCTGAGCACTGCTTGCATATTTATTATCTACTGATGACAGAGGCTCTAGCAAAGCTTCCCTTCTCTGTTTGTTTAAACACGGACTTACTGCCCACTTTTAACCATTTAATGCACTGTTCTTAAAGGTCTCTCTTCACCTACCATGTTGTGGTTTTGTCTTTAACCTACAACAGCTTGAAACTCTACTGACACCCTATGCTGCCTTTTCAGATGTGATATGACAGGTATCAGCAAAATAACCAGAAGTTTTTATACCTTAACTCTGCACCTTAGCATCATTAATCAATTACCTGAATATGAACAGAAGTACAGTTCATATTCTTCAACTCCTGGTTTAAAGGCACAACACTACTTCAGGTATGTCCTGTATTTTTTCCCTTCTTATGCTGAGAAGTTAATATTTTTACAACAAGAATATACAGCAATGCTACAGACACAGTAAGAACATGTTTTTTCCACATCAAATTACATTAACTCACTTAGTTATGAAATTATTTTCACCCAGAGAAACAAGTTTTTACAGGAGGAAAATATTACAGCAATGAAGTATCTGATTACGGATAATACTGCGGGTTTTTTAATATCAAAAGGAAAAAAGTGTGTTCGTACTTCTTTTATTGCTTCTCTGCTGGTGATGATCCTTCCTCTCTTTACTCTTTCTGGAAGACTGTGTTCCTGGATGCTCTATTCCACTAACAACAAGCCCTCCTCAGAAACAAAAGGAAAGGAAGTTAAACAAAGTTCACTAATTCATTTTAGAAGAATGCAAACCTGCACAACCAACATGTGTTTCAGTTGAGAATATACCTCCTTGATGCTGAACTTTTCAGATAGCTTTAGAAGGCAAGAACAAAAAGCTTTTCAACATCAAGTATTTTGGAGTGCAATGCAATTTGAGACATTTTGAAAATAATCTGATCAAATTTCAATCACAGCACATTTCAGAAAGCCATGACACGAAAGTCATTTTTTAAGACAAAAACAGCTATTACAGGGCCACAAAGAAATCCTATTTTCAAGCAAGCTAGTTAATTAGAAAAAGACCAAATTAGGATGAATTGTCAAGAAAAAAAAAAGGCCTGAGAAAGAGATAATTTGTTCCCTTAGGTAATTAAACACTATGACTGGATAAAATATTATAGTATCTGCTCTGGAGAACAAACTTCACAGAGACATGCTCCAATGAATGATCCAGCAGATTGTCTCTTTTTCCGATATCATACAGAATCTCTGATGTAATAAACCTACTAGAACAGAGAAACTGTTCTGCTCTTCCCTAAACAGTTAAGGCAAGGGTAGTTAACATGCTCTGCTGATACTATTTTCAGCTGACACAGGCACATCAGGAGAGAAAAAGACTACATGGAAAGACGACTAAATAGCTGAAGACCATAAATAAATTTCTTTTTTTAAAAATTACCCAACAGTAATCTATTGGGCATCTCAAAGCCCTCATGGCCACGGATTTCTCTTTACTGCCCTATTAGGAGGAAGCAAATAGGTATTTTGGAGCTCATACCTGAAGGTGTTATCATGTAGTTTACGCGTTCCCCTCTCCAGTATTCCAGAGGTTTTAGCCGTATCCTTTTTGTCCGACGAACATGAGGTGTGTTAGTAGGCATTACTAATTGAAAGGATAAAATCATTCACATTAAGTATGAAAGGAAAACTCAGAGATGGAAAATACTAAATATGGTTTCCTGTTGTTCTGTATCACAAGGGCATCAGCACTTCCCAACTGATATTTACATCACACTGCTATCATGACAGGAAAATAGGATTCAAGTATTGCCAAAAGCCTTCTTTTGCATCCATCAGTATTTTGTTCTCCTTTTTCTTAAACAATCACAACACTGATTTTACACTAGTTTTAATTCTCTATGTCTTAGTGAAACATTGAGATATGATCATTAGGAGCTCAAGAACAAGGAACAGCAAAAAGGCCACGACTGTGAAGACAAAGCTCTCGACAAAGACCTAAGAGCAGTCCCTAAATCTGAGGGATTTCATTAGCAACAGTGAAAACGCCAGGCCTTGGTTATGGCAAGGGGACCTATGGTAACAGAGACTACATAAGCAGTCCCTTCTCTTCCAGATTCATAAGACCCATTTCCAGAGTCCAGAAGAGCATCACTTTTGCCAACGGAAACTCCACACATTTCAAAATTTCTCAGGTATTTATCTTCATATGTACTTATTACATAGTCACAACTTCCAGGCTGTCTAAGCTGTCATATACGAATACAGTAAGATCAGGTATTTTAGTGAATGTAAGAAAGAATAAAAGCCCCTTAAGGGCTGAGAGCAAATTAGTCAAGAATAATTATACGTTAAAAATGGTGAGTACAAAAAACTTGCTGAAATAGTTCTTGAAGGCAGATAACTAAAGCGTTGTGCATAAAATAATAATGAAGGCAATAAGAGGACCCAATACAAAACAGACAAGCAGAGGACTACAATCGACTGTATGCCCGTTGTTCCATCCTATTCAGACCCAGACCCCCACACAAGGCAGGTTATTTGCACCCTCAGCTACACTGTGCAAAACTAATTCAAATTCTTACTGTTCTCACTGAACTGTAAGAGCTTGTGTTGACTCACTTGTTGAGGAATACATTCAGTGCAGGTCGCTGGGTGTGCAGCTGCAGTGCCAGCTGCAGACTCAGCTCTGGTTGGTGGGAAATAGTGGGAGCCTCAGGCAAGAGGCTGTGAACTGGTGTTGACCCTCAGCACAACAATGGGCACAGGGACCTGTGGCCCAGCCAGGTGATCAGAGACACAAAGACTCAGCAAGAGCTGAGGACTCAGCTGGAAGACTACAGAGGACTTTAAGAGAAGGGCTATACCTGAAGAATTAACAAACCCTATCTGTAAACACCTATGAACATATGAACCCATTTCTAAGGGTTCTCTAGTGTCTCCCTCAGCAAAGTTTACATCACTTTGGAGACGCATTTGTATTTACACACTTACATGAAGATGTTTTAAAACAATGTTACCTATTTTCTGCTTTGCTAACTCGTCCATCAACAGCTCTTTTAGTGTATTATTCCGGTCTTCAGAATCGTCTGAAAAAAACATTCAAAAAACCACCAGCACAGGCACTTACTACTCCTGACTTCTACTTAATATAACCCACTAGAAGCAATGAGAGATACTATAAACAGAAGTCCCAATGTTAGTGTCCCTACTAACACCTTTTTCTTCAAACATATATGAAACCCGATGTAGATAAACAGGGTATGCAATCAATTTTTAAACAAAGCAAGCCTGAAAATGACATGAAAACTACACAGTCAAGTAAATATTTCTCAGACCTATCCCTCTTTATAAAATAAACATTGACAAATTGATCAATAAAATTATATGGATAGTTATAAAGTGCAAAGTCATTCAGATTTACATCACTCAGACCTAACTTTAGAACAAACTTCTTACCAGAACACACACATAAAACTAGGTCTCTGAAGAAAGCATTGCATGAACTAATAACATTCACATCTGGCTCTACAACACTAACAAAAAGACTTTCTATCTCCGTTATGACGTTGTTGTCACTATGACAACATGTGTGGCTTGTCTAGCAAAACTTAAAACCAAAAATCAAAGAAATAATAAAAAAACCCAAAAGATCACACACAAACCCTCCCACACAGAACAAAGCAAATGAACAAAAAACCCCCAAACTGAAGTATCCTTAGGCAACCAGGCCACAACCCCATATGGATGTACAATTTGGTCTAGGGTGGCCTGAAGTGACACATGGCAACATACCAAACTGGCATAAACTGAGTCTGAGACATTTCTCCAAAGTACAGCCTTAACCTAGTAGGCTTGATGCCACCCTCTGGAGGGCCTGTCCTTTTAAAGCCAACAGAACGTACAGCTGTCATACCGTACCATGTACTTGGACAGATGTAACCACAGACAGTAAAATCTGCATTTCTTGTTCTGAACAAGCTGAATACAACAGAAATTACTGAACCATCAATTACAGCTTAAAATAGAAAATACCAAGTCTAAGCATTACCTGAAGATGTATCATCACATCTACAAGCGTATTTATGACAAAGTTCTAGATCAGGCCCACTGCAAAAGAGAAAGAAATACACCTGCTTGAATATGTTAAATATCAAAGGAACATGACACGACTACTAAGAACAGCAAATTCAAGTTTTTTTTCAGACCATGTAGCGTGTTTTGCTTTGTTTTCTTTTAAACATCTGTCTATTCTGATTAGACACTGAAGCAAATGACTGCTAGTTAGAAATCACAGGTTTGAACTGCTCCTCTACTCTGTCATCAGGCAAACAAATTAGTGTGCACATCTCTGCTCTAAACAGGCTTCTTAAATTTCTTTTTATTTTTTTCTCCCTTCCAGAATAAAAAGACCTTCTCCTCTCCACTATAGCATTACCTTTCAATCAATTTTCCATATACCATGATTACAGAAGTGCTTTAAATAAATGTTTAGCATACTGAAGGAAAGAACTGCAAAATAGTTTCTAGTTGCAAACTGTAATGTGTATTTTGTCATGAAATCTCCCCCATAAAATGAAAATAATTTACATATATAACTCCACCAGAAATTCCCTAGCAATCATAACAGGACTTCTCTTACAGCCTTAGCATCAAGACCCTTAACCTTCCTTCTGCATTCATCTGTGGCTGTGCTTCGCTACTTTTACTGTGCCAGTAAAGTTCAGCCATTATCCACCTAAACTACAAAAGATGCATTTCAATCTAGATCAGAAAACCTTCACTACAAATTTATCCAAATAAATTTACAGTAGGCTTGCTTATAATTAAAAACCCCAAAATTTTCAGCAGAATGACTGCATAAGAATTTAATAAATTCAGACTGTCACTCCTTTTTCCTTTGTTATTAAGTTCCCATCCTGTGAAAACATATGCCTACCTACATGCACAAAGAGTTTGGATTGTAGATACAGTTCTATACCCTACTTAACAACAACTTTATTAGTACAGTTGTTGTTAGTTGTAGGAATTTCTGGTATTTCTGTTCAAAAATCACACACTAATGCAGAAGAGACTCAAAGGAATAAATCCCCAAAGGCCAGAAACTTACTATGACCCATTATTAATGACAGGAAGAAAAATGTTATTAGCTTATTAACTGTATTAAGATGGTATTTGAACCCCTCAAGCATGAATCATAATCCTTTTCTCCTAGGTGCTTCACTAGTAGAACACAGAATGCAGAAGTAGCACCAAACTGTTCTGCCTCAATGTGGCTGAAGTGAGATTAAATTCAAGTTTTTCAGATAAATCAGGAAATTACCTCTCATAATTCAGAGCGTTCTCAGCTGCAAAGCAATCTCTAGAAGAGAACAAATTATTCTTATGACATTTAGTTTCAAGTCAGTTTTACTTATTGAAAGAAACCTGTAGATCAATAATTTCCACATACTGAACAAAACCACAAAAATATATTAAAAAAAATGAAAAAGCAATTCACAGAACAATGGATAAACTTGGTTTTAGACTGCTTAACTTTCTCTTTAGATTACCAATCATTAAAAAGCTGGTTCCAGAAAAACACAGCTGAAGAATTAAATGCTGTTTTTTCTAAATTTATTTTTTAAAAGCAACAAGTCTGATAGTGAAGTTACTCTACAGGTGGTTGGGATTGTGTTAAACTGGACATGCTGTGCAGGTCTCATAAGAACATTTTAACCAGCATGAGCTTCCTTGTGTAGGAGACACTGAATTTGGCACCCACCTTTGAGAACAGGGTGTTGATTATACTATCACATAGTTCAATTGTGCCATCACTGCTTAAAAGTTAACAAGATGTGTTTAATCATCTACCAAGTTATACCACACTTGTAAGGAATCACATAAAAAGCTTACTGTAGTCCATGTTGAATGCTACGTTTTCTTTTTTTACTTTTTGTTTTCACATCTGGTAATTTCCGCTTTTTTCTTGCCATGTCCTCTACAGAAGAGCTGTCTGAATCTGTTTGAGACTCAGTGTCCTCAGGGCCTGAGCAAACCTCACTGGTTCTGTGAGGAATCTTTTTGGGGATCTTCCCTGAAGACTTAACTGACACCCGTTTCTTTTCAGAATTCTTTGCACTGTCCATGGGATGCTGTAGTGCTTTTACAGGAGTTTTGTTATTTGCACTACCACATGACTGCAATGTGTGCTTCTGAAACATGGGAGTCCTTAATTTCTGCCACAGGGGTGGTACAGGCTCTCTTTCCAACTCTTCTTCATCAGGTTCACTGTCAGAACTCTCCTCTCTTTGTAATGGAGGCTTTTTATTGCTACTTTTCTGGACAGATTTTATACACTTCCTCCTTGGACTTACTGCCCCCCCTTTAGCTACTTTAGTTTTTGGAAGTTTCCTCTGAGAGGCTTGTTTCTTCTGTGGAGAGGCTTGTTTCTTCTCCGGAGAGGCTTGTTTCTTCTCCGGAGAGGCCTGTTTCTTCTCCGGAGAGGCCTGTTTCTTCTCCGGAGAGGCCTGTTTCTTCTCCGGAGAGGCCTGTTTCTTCTCCGGAGAGGCCTGTTTCTTCTCCGGAGAGGCCTGTTTCTTCTCCCGAGAAGCTTGTTTCTTCTCCCGAGAAGCTTGTTTCTTCTCCCGAGAAGCTTGTTTCTTCTCCCGAGAAGCTTGTTTCTTCTCCCGAGATGCTTGTTTCTTCTCCCGAGATGCTTGTTTCTTCTCCTGAGAAGCTTTTGAAGCTGACTGCAGATTCTTCCAAGACTTGAGAGACTGTTTTGGAGACACAATCTGCTCTTGCTGATACCCAGATGAGGGCATAGGCAAATCCTTACTTGGCAGCACCTTTGTTTTACATTGTTCTTCATCAGATACTTTTGTTTTCAAATCAGACCATGACATCAGTTTTTGAGCTGCTGGTTTCCAGGACGTGTTCTTTTTCTGTTTTGCAGAGTCTTGCCTAACTGCATCCTTTTTAGTCTTTCCTATTAACACACAAAGCATTCGGACATTAATATCTTTTCCCAGTAAAGCTGAAGATATATGTTAACATCTGAATGCATAAAAATAAACCAAAGAATCAAACTGGAAAAAAAGAAAAAACGTGTCACAAAACCAGACTTTTCCCTGGGGGTTAAAAGAAGGCTTCTTTAAGCTACAATGTATAAAAAACCTTCTGGTGTACTTCGGGTATTTCCTAAGAGGAAAAAAAAAGGGGAGGGCAGAAACGTTACATTCAGTCTGCTTTCCAATTTTCAGTGTTTGCTGCTGCAAAACCCTTCTCAAATAAATTCCTAAAACCCATTCTCCTTCATTCAAAGCATGTATCTTAGCCCCCTTTCTAGGGAGAGAGGAGCAAAAGCTTGTGGGTACCTACCTTCCATGTCTGCTCATGAGTAAAAGCAACACTGCTAACTTAATGTCTTAACAGGAAGGGCAAAGGGGGTGGGGAAAAAAAAGTGAAGACATTCTGACACACTGCCTTACATACACCCAAATCTAACTGTGCAACTGAAACATCAAAAAGGAATCCATTAATGTCTCTCATCTACTTAAAATATAACTATATAAATGCACTATATATATTATAATAATAATTTCCTAATAAACCATCACAAAATAACCCAGTAATATGATCTGGAAAAGTCTGAGGAGCTGTTAAATAACTTACCCATATGAGTGATCTTTTGGCTTTGAGATTTATGGACCGTTTCTTCACTGTCAGGGATTGGATCCGATACTGGCATTCCTCTGAAGTCATGTACTCCAACATTCACATCATCCAATTTCTGTTTACAAAGTGGTTCAACTTCTACTTGTCTGTTCTTGCCTTTCTTACTCTGTGTCTTCTTTTCAGAGGGCTGAGATTTGGAAACAGCAGTTGCAGAGCCACCTCTTTTTGATTTTTTGTTCTTATTGGGTATCGAAATCCAACAATCAGATTCACTATCTGATACATCAATTAAAAATTCACAATCATTTTCTACTCCTCCATCTTCCACAGGAGAAGTTGATGGTGATGATAGCAAGGCTGAATACCTAAAGAAAGGAGGGACAGTATTCATATAATTTTAGTGGAGGTAGCGGGGAAAGGACTTTAAATCTAGTAGTGACTTCAGAACACCTAAACACAGTACAGGACATTGCTTGGGAGAGAGAGGACGAGGCCTGCTTCTCCTTGCTTTGGCCTCATTATATTCACACCTTACTGTTTCTCAGATGCTGGACAGCTGACTTTCTATCCAACTGGTCAGATCCATACTAGCTCTGAAGAAGACTGCCTGATCACTCTTAACTTCAAAATCACCTAAGGTTTTCCTGAATCCTCCAACCTACCTGTCAAAACATCTCAGGCTCAGTCTGAAACACTATTCAGCACATTATTTTACTGGCGGACAAAAGCAAGAGCATTGTTAAGTTCTAACAGAACAAAATTTTGAAACAACCGCTCAAGCCCCTTCTCAGGGAGTATTTTTAAGTAATGTTGGACTACCCCAAACCATGCTCCCAGACCTTATTTATAAGTACAAGGATGTTGCTGAGTTAGTTGTTGCTGTCAGTCAGGACTGTGTTATTTTATAAGCAAATAGTCTTCCATATTAAGCCTCAAAACAAACCTCTCTCCATATATTCCTCTTGCTACAGCTGCTAAGACAGCTGAAGAGAAATACTCCTTTTTCTGTGCAGAAGATGCAGCAACAGGTGTTGTTACTTGCACAAGAACATCCTGCTCATCTCTCCCAGTCTGAGGTCCTTCCAAATTTTCAACTTCCACATGGCTCTCTGCTGCAGCAGTTGTCTTGCAGTCATCAGAACACAATCTATATATGAGAAACAGCATTTAAACACGGTGCTATAAATGCTGAGTGCACAATAAAGTATTGTGAGGATGAACAGATACTCCTGCTGACACTGTCTCACTTCTTCTGAATGAGCTTCCCTTTGGTAACTTGCTGGAACACAGGTTAGCAGTAGTACTTCCCAGCATAGGAGCTTCAGAAATTTTCGACTGACTTCCCAGTCTCACACTGGATCAGTGCCAGTCTGTCTCTCTGACCTACCCCAGAGACTCAGTCCTCCAGGAAAGCAGAACTGCGGCTGGGACCACTGGCCAGTATTGCAGTTGGGCTCAAACTTCCCAATGAGAAGATAATAATCACAACTGAAGTCGCTCTACTTTGAATAAAACATTTATGTATTCAGAGAAAGAGGAACAATGACTGTTCATTTCTGCTTTAACAAATTTTTGTTAAATTTTTAAGTTCAACACTGTCAACAGGATTGACTAAAAAAGTCAATCAAAGACCATCTGAGGAGCTGATACTTTGGTGCGCTTTCCTGCAAACAGCAGTTCAAATCTCTTCTGACAGGCTTCCTACACTTGGGTACTGCACTTATCACCAGAATATTTAATAAAAAACAATTCTGCTCTTCCTAAACCCAGATACAGACATTTTCTAAAAATCTTGGAATATTTTTTTATGAGTTCATAATCCAAAATCATAAATGATCAAAACCACTGTGTTAATTTACCCTGAGGTGGGAGACACACAGAGGACATGACACCACAACCATGTTGTACTTAGTCAGTACTACTTACTTAGCTACAGAGGTTTTTACTTCCTCCACAGGAGAAGGCACTCCAACAGACCTATGGTCATCCTCAGGATCCAAATACAAGGCAGGACTTTGGCACTGTGTTTCAACATCTTTTGGTGTTTTGGGGTTTTCTCTTTTAGACACCTGAGACTCTGTTTTTTCAGAAGCAGCTATGTAATCACATACTGCAGGCTTCAGGGGTGATGCACAAGACTCTCCTGCCATATAGATAGAGTAAGTTTAATTCTTATACTCAAAACCTCACAAAGTCCCAAGAAATAGTTACCCAAAAAACCCTAATTCAATAACAATGTGACCAACCTCTGCTGTTGACTGGTTTTAGTGCTGATTCAGGGAAGGATTTTGAGGATACTGCAGAATTAGAGGCTTTTTTCACAGAGGTGGATGATCCTGCTTTTGGCTGCCACAGTTGATAACGAATATTTAGACAAAGTAAAATATTCGATAAAGCAACAGTATATCATTTTCTACTGAACATGATATAATTCCTTCCCTTAATTCATACCGTGATTTATTTGAATCACAGTTCTATTTTAACTAAACATTTCAACTTTCTAAAAGTAACTGTAAATTTCAAACAACAGGTAAAACAGTGTGCACAGTAAAAATGAATACGAAGCTTTAAACAGACATTCTGCTAGTCTCCAGGCAAGCTCCTTATTCTTTTCATTAGAATGAAATCATTTAAACCATTTAATTCACCATTATTAAGACAGCCTGAGGTTTTGCAAGAATTGCTGTGAGATTATATGGTATTCTAATGTCACACTAAAGTAAGCAAAAGGATGCCTGTTCTCAACCCTGACATTAATAGATTATCCTGTATGTTTTTTAAAAAAATTAAAAGAATCAAAATATTCAAAGTAAATATATAAACTCGATTATTTGCATCATTCTCTCAGACAGCACACTAATAAGGCCTTCAACTTATTTCTACCCTACAACAAAGCTAAGATATACAAAGTTATTGTACAGACAACTAATTATCAGAAATGAATGAGATGCTTTTATACAAGAATCACCTTTCAGTTTTACTATTCATCAGATAGTTAAGAACGGTCTCCATATATCTGGCAAAGACAGCCATACCCACCACCAGTTATAAGGCAGCGTGCATCCTGAGACCATGAGAAATTTAACTATCCTGGACAAAAAAGCTGAAAAAGCTTTCATTAGCAAAAACCCAAGAAAATAAGCTATTAAATAAATCTAGTTATAGAATATTTACTATTAGATCACAACAAACTAAGAAAAAAAATCATCAACCACTATCACAGGTGGTTAAATTATAGCCTATATACTGACACAAGTAGCATATGGAGCTTATTCATTCAATGCTCATACAGAACTAAATTGTACAGAGCTAAACCTGCACCCAAGTGAAACTGTACCCAATGCTACTCTGTGACACTGCCATAACTAAGTTACCCTTTGGCTCTGCATTGAAGGACTTTTCTCATCTCTGGCAACGGGAGTTGAGCAACGGGTTGCACTTGGAGAATTTATTGTGAGATCAGGGCTGCAACCTATAAAGAAAAAACATTAAATATGGGAATCTTGGAACTGTCCGTGTTTCATTTATTTTAACAAGCTGATAAGGCTTATTAAGGTCACATGAATCCAAACAAGAAAGGTATCAGCTACTCAGGAAAAGGTTTACCTTTATAAGACAGCTACGACACAGTTTTAAGCAGCTGGGAAGGGGGTGCTCTTAAAGACCATGAGGAAGACTTTATTTTTATCCATTTCATCTCTATTTTTTATTTGTTTTACTTACCACTAAACATAATACAAGGAAGAAATTATCTTTTTCTTTAACCAGCAAATTCAGCAAAACACCAAGTAAGAGCTTACTTTCAAAACAATCCTGTATGAGTTCCAGTACATTCTGACCTGGCTGTATATCAATCTTATTTCTAGAAAGAAGAGGGGAAAAAAAATATTTTCAATCAAAACCACCAAATATCCCTATGTTAGCAATACAAAACCAGTAAAGTACTTCTTAATATTTTAGATTATAATTTCCCATAGCCCCAAATTTAATATATTTTTACCTACCATTTCCATGCATAGATATCTGCAAAGAAACTTATCTGTTAAGAACTCCAGGAGCAAAAGCCTCACTGACACAGAATATGATGGGAATGAAGAACTCTCTCTACATAAATGAAAACATACAACTACTGCAACAGCCCACAGGTAAAAGAGTTTTGGGATGAATAGAGATTATCACTTGAAATAAATAATCCTTAAAAAAAATAAATCAGTCCTCAAGTAATGTTTCCTGCACAGTGATCCACCAGTCTCAGCAGACCTGGAAATGAAATGGGCAGACTGCACATTATTCCTTTATACAAGGAATCAATCATCCTCTGCTTCTTGTTGCACCATTAACTCACAGTTATTCTGCTCTTCCAAAAAGGTTTCAGCAGCAGAAGAGGTATCAATAAGCAAGTGAACAATGCAGCTGGTTGCATTACTATTGTGACCCTCTCCAGCACACATGAAAATGGCAGAAGTGATTCGCTAGTCAGACCATGTTGATCAAAACCAAAATAACAGGACAAAAGCCACTCCCATAATGACCATTACATACCTTCAAAAACAGATAGTTTGGTAGACTTGGTAAGCTCATGAAATGCATGTCTAAAAATGTGAACAATGCAGCTGGTTGCATTACTATTGTGACCCTCTCCAGCACACATGAAAATGGCAGAAGTGATTCGCTAGTCAGACCATGTTGATCAAAACCAAAATAACAGGACAAAAGCCACTCCCATAATGACCATTACATACCTTCAAAAACAGATAGTTTGGTAGACTTGGTAAGCTCATGAAATGCATGTCTAAAAATGGATGCCAATAACAAAAAGCTCATGGACTTCTGACATGCCTAATTTAAAGAATGCTGCAGCACTGCAAAGACTCAAACTCATCTCTAACATTTACCAGCAAGGGCCAAATAAGTTGGAACTCTGTGTGGGCTTCATTTCTCTGCCTCATGAAAGGCAAAATGTTTGCAGACTGCTGCTTCCATACTCAGGCAGCCTAGTTAGGGGGACCTTAGGTATAGCTACACCACAGCCTACTGTCTCAGCAAAGGAAAACAAAGGAAACCCTTGGGGCTTTGCCCCCCCCCCCAGCTTGCTCCTCCCAAATCTAAGAAATACAGGAAATCTGTGAAACATCATATGATCAGTTTAATAAGATACGCCATACCGTTTTGACATGAAGCTCTCAGATAAAAATCAACGTTAAGTTTTTAGAATCTAAGAATAAAATTTTAAATGCAATTACCCTCCTCCATGGCAGAATCTTGCTCTGTAGCCTTTTTTTAAATGATTCTGTGAAGAAATAATAATCAATTTTTACAAAGCATTATGACATTTGGCAGAAAAACAAGTGATCAGCCTCCTGTTCCTCATGCAAGCAGGTCTCAAGGACTCCCAATCTACCTTAACTAGTGGGAGTTACTGCAGCCCTGATTTTCTTAGAATGCCACAGGACCTACAACCCCTACAACAACCATCACAAATTCAGTTTTCCTAAGGAACCATCAAGCATCTGTTGCATTTAAACTCAGAGAGTCTTACAGGAGACTCACATGATCGAAACCCCAGAGAACCTGAGGATTTGGTTAACATTTCTGTAATGACTGTGCAAACAATCTTATAAGTGAAGAAAAGGAACAACTATCACAAAGCAAACTGGGGCATAACTTTACAACACATCAGCTGCTGTGTGTTAACTGCTCATATGAAGGTTCTTCCCCTGTGTTTATCACAGGCACCACCACACTGACAGGCAGTGAGAGCACATCACTAGCTGTGCCGTGAAAAAGCCACAGCCTCTATTGCCTCCCGGTGCCTATTCATACACTTGAACCCTGAGTATAACCAGTCACTCAAATAGCAGACATGATTCCACTCATCTACTACCACAACTAGAGGAGGGATAGTGTAAACAACAGCATATTGTCAGCAATACCTTGAATGCCAACAAATGAACTAAAGCCACTGACCTGAGTATAGGCAAAGGCTGCAAAGGATAAAAGAAAAATAAACGGCAAGAATATTTCAAGAGCTAAGCAGAGTGCAGTTTTTCATGAATGTGACAAGAAAACGTCTCAAAAATATGCAAATGTTTAGCCAAGAAAACAACTATGACTATGGCATTTGTGTAAATTTGGAGTAAGTACAGAGTGGAGATTATCTAGTCCTAATAAAACAGAATTCAGCATGTTTTTCTGAAGTTTACCACGCGGGCATTACTTTGCACGTCTCTGCGATTCCTCTTCGGATATTACTTCCGGCAACAAAAATAACCAAAACTACGTAAGGATTAATTTTACGGCAAATTGTCAACATCAACTTAAAGTGGTAGAAAGAAGGGAAAACAGAGAGGAAAACACCCGGCCAAAAGGCCCCGCCTCGGGGGCTTTACAGAACCACACTCCGCGGCCAATCGAGCTCAGAAACATCCTCCCCTGGCAGCAGAGCGCAGGACGATGCACTGCCAGGCAGCCTCGCAGGTTACAAGGCAAAGTGAAACATTCCTGTCGCAGGTCTAAAGAGCTGATGACAGTTTATTTATTACTGCGCTCACTCATGAGGAGTGTCAGAACCGCAACCGAGCAGGGCTCTGGCGGTGCCCGGGGGGACAGGATCCCCGCGGGC